AAGTTCTGAGGAGCGTGAAACTACTTCTTAATTGCGTTTGTTCCCAGGTCCACCCTGATCCAGAGTGATAGCACCAGTTAGGGTCCCAGCTATAGGGAAAAATAGTGAACACCTAAACAAAGACAAAATACTATGGAAGCTTAAAAATGCAAAGGGATGAAATATTCAAATTCTAGATAATACGTTGAACACTTTTATATCAGTTATATTATAAATGTTACAACCTGATGTGGGCGCAAACCTATCCATTTGTTACACCAGCTTAAAAAAAAACAATATAAGACTTGAATATAAACGTGAATAAATTTCTTTGTCAATAGCTGATGGCATTCGTGACATTTGCGACAATAGACGATGGTGTTCCCCGCACCTGTATATTTTCTACAGAAATGGCCAGAGGCCTAAAATAAACCAAAAAAAAAGTTACAATTATTTAAAGGGTTAACGAACTCGACACATGAACATATTTACACGAACGCTTACTTCTCATTACCTAACAGAAAGCGATGATTCGCACTAAATAAAACAAACTTCACCTCTGGCCTGAACAACTCATGATTCTCTTTCTGTTATCTAGAAACATAAAATACTTGTTCTTCCCGATTAACTCCGTAGAGATTCTTATAAGTAATTGGTATTTAAAAAATATTTAGAGGTTAATGTACATATTTTGTCTTGGTGAATTAAAATGGGATGCAGAAATTATCCTTATTCTTGTATTAACTTGAGCTATTGTTCTCATCTTGGTCCATATAGATGTTATTAGAGAAACGACGTTTCGACCAAGTACCCTCTGGTCATCATCAGATTGCTGATATGTAGTATCTGTTCATTACTGTGATATTTTTTCCCTGTGATCTCAGTTATTGTTCGTTCCTTTTGAATTGGTGCTTTTCAAGGGTTGAACCCATGGTCACTAGATGTCAATAACACATATTTAATCAACTACGCCACCGTCCCAAGAGAGACCAGTTGTGTGTTCTTTGGGAACCTTTTATATTCAATGTTAGATGGTTGATATTTAGTTATGATGTCAAGCTCATACCGTTTTTTTCCAATTTAGTAGTTTTTTTTTCCTAAGTTTTTCAAAAGTACAGGCATGCCTGTCAAATGTCATACCTTAACACCTTAGGCTTGTCTCCTAAGGAATGATGCAGTGTGAAGCTTTGTTCATGGGCGGAAGTAGTGTGGATGCCTCATGGCCGGTGTCAAGAGAGTTGTTTTTTTTTTTAAAATTAGAAATGACGCAGCCCAGAAGACTTGGAAGTTACCTAAAGATACGTGAGTAAATCCCCGATCGGAGATCGTTTGATTCGACGTGGTTACTCGACCGGGAGGTATCTTTAACTGATCCACATCTTTAAGGTTATGCGCTGTTTTTATTAAAACCTATCATCATATTGCGTACTTTTGGCTCAGTTGCATTTGTCTGTTGTACCTTTACCTACTGGGTGATGTATTAGGAAAATTAGGCAATGTATACTTTTGACCCAGCACCCATTTGTTAGTGTGTTATACCAGGACACTACCTATTCTATTGTAATAGACTCTCCCACCGATAATAAGTAGTAGTAGCAGTGGCCAGTTGGGCTCAGTGGAGTTGAGTGAGCCAGTCGATGTCGGACATTGAAGTATCAACCATCACAACTAGATTGCTGCGTCATTAACTCTTATTTCAAGTTCCTAACGTTTTGTACGTCGGACCCTTTTAGGACAAGCCTTCACTACAAGCCTTCACTGTGAAAACTACTCTACAACAGTGTGCTGCTTTGTCACTACACATAATTTGTTCTGATCATCATTAAGTGATGAGAAGCATCAAGCTAACTCAGCAAATAAAAGGCACGTTCTAATTGTTGCCTTGAAGGCAGAGCGTCGTAGATTTAGAGATTTCTCTCTTTCTGAAAGTTGCGCAGTCATTTGTTGTCAAAGTTCGCAAAATAACTAGAGGCCTCTTATGTTTATTCTTCAGTGCTAGCCAAGGGTAAAACGCCTGTTATGGGCCCTAATAATATTATAACACCAAAATCTGTACAAAAGGTGCAGAAGATTATGTATAAGAACCAGATAAAGTCAACACATTTGCTACGGAATTCAAGGTTATAAGATTTTAAGGCACACTATTGAAAGCATTGCGTATGCTGACTGCGATACAAGTCATACGTCTGCAGGCCAATTCATGTCTAAGACAAAAGATGGCCATCTGATCTCAAACTGCTTGTTGGGAAACGCCAAGAGCAGGCAATTCTTTGGTTTTTCTCTTATGAAGAAAACACTTTGTTTAGGACCAAAAGATCAACCAAAGTTAAGACACTAAGGACGTTCAAACGGTAAGGCATACAAAGTTTCCGGTAGCTGTGACCGTTCTGGGAGTTCTGAGCAACTAGGAAGATGTCATGCCTCCTCAGGGCTTAAGGGCCAATGATGCTGACTATAAAAGAGTGTTGCAGAGGCTTGGATGTTTTCGATAGAGAGCGTGAGTAAATTGTATACCTACCAACAAGAATCTGCGTCGACTCGTAAGATCAAGACATCCCAAGAATTAATGAGTTACAATCTCCAATAAACCCGTCACTCAAAACACATGGCTCGCTAGATCTGAATCCGACGGACTAATATGTATGGGGCGTAGTCGAGAAAGAATTTATTTAACGCCCACATAACACAATAAAAGCTCTGTCTGTCATAATAGCACAATGTTCAAAATAGACAAACCTCTCATTCAGGCATGTCAACGTTTTAAATAGATGTTAACGCCGGATCCATTAAGTAGATACTCCATGAAGAGTTTCAAAATTATTCGTGCCAATTCTTTCTCTCAAAGAGACCTCTTCTTTTATGACATATACGTCCTTTACTAAATTCAAGCGTATTCTTCAAAGAACTGAGAAACCATATAAATACAATCAGATGATTATATAACAAACTTTAAATTGGTCACTTCACCGTCATTTAATGCTGAGTGAACATGCTTCGTAGATAATTACTACTGCGTCGTAAGTCCGATACTCACAGAGTAAATAAGTACCCTTATGTTTAGTATTGATTAATTAATTTGAGTTTTACGGCTTATCAACCCTTTGTGGACTATTTAAAGCCGAAGCATATTTCGGACTGTAATAAATCTTTTTTGTGAGTGAATATTGCATTAGCAATTTTTGAAAATAACAATACTTTTTCCGGAAACAAGTCATAGTATTTAACCAATAGATGGAGGGAGAGACTGATTCATACTTTCCCAATATTATTTACATGTAAGTATAGATAACAAGTCCGACTGGAATTCGAACTCGGCTCTAAGATTTCTCATTACGAGCAGCTATCGATTACCCCACCCTCACGTAATTGTAATTAGTAAATATTTGTGTGTTTCGGAGTTGGGTAATGGTTAGAGGCATCGTTGAGTTGGCCATTATTATTATTTAGTGAATTTGACATTCACCGATTTCCACACATGTGAGATTGCGCTAGACAACGCTAAGTTTACACAAACAAATATCTGTAAAATATAAGATTTATTGGCAGAAGCAGTTGCGTATTGCTTACCGCTACCCGGAGTATTTTTATTTACTGAGCTTAGTTTAGTTTGGACACAATACCACAAATGAGCAAAGAGGAACGATGTCCCTGCTCAGTAGTAATAGGCTATTCAAACTTGTTCACTGATCATTACACCAGGATAAGGGGCTCTTATTTACGATGATGTTTGTGTCCAAGCAAATCGAATACCATTTTATTAATCGAGTTCTCTTCATGCATGTCAGTAAATCCACTAAGACTCAGGGTTTACAAGTTGTGAAAGAGTTAAAAACAGAAACGTTACTAATGAGCGGGAAGAGAAAAGGGTAATTAGGAGGACAATAGATAGCGATTGACGTTGCACTTGATTTTTTAAATTAAAGTGGACTGGAAAGCATGGAGCAGGAAGAAAGTTCTTGAAACGAGAAGTGCGAGAAAAGAAACTATTAGCCTAGAAACTACAGTTACATCTCGCGAGATCAACTGTAAACTGATGAGATTTCGCAGCCAGTTTAGCATCACGTTTACATTTAAAATGTCTTGTTCCCATAGCGAAGAGCCGAAATTAAAAAAAAAAATTTCACCCCAAACAAGGGAATAAAGCCACTGAGACGCAACAGGTTACAGTATGTTAGAGAATATGAGAAAATACAGATTTTCTTAACCCTTTCAGCACTTCTATTTTCTCTTTGATTTTTTGACTGTCTATCATCATGAACATATCTACGTCCTTCCTTGATCTGTGTATGCCTCGTAAAAACACTCGACCACCTCATAATATGTTTAGCTTCTTTTGTAATCCGTTTTTCACAAGCAAGGCAAGAAAACAACTAAGATTCAAAGGGTTTTTAAGTGTGAAGGAATATAACAAAAAAGAAAGCATCATTGAGAGGAGAGAACAATATAGGAATTAAGATGACAGAAGATAATGATTGACATTGAATATTCATTTTTGAAGTTCAATGTCGACTGAGAAGCAATGAGACCGAAAAGAGTTGCACAAGCGAGAAGTGTGATAGAAGAAAATTAGCATAGAACTTGCGGTTACATCTAGCCATAAAACTGTAAATTGATGAGACCTTTCCGCTAATCTAGTACTGCGTTTAAATTCTTAAATGCTGATTTTTATTTGCAGTAGTCTTCCTTCACTATATATGACCTTGTGTGAAGTTAAGCAGATTTAAGTGAATATTTCATTATTCTTCTTTTCCTGCTTTTACTCTGTCACCATCAACTAATCTTTCTTCACTACTTTTCTCATTTCTTGTCACTCTTGAATACTTTTATGCTTTCTGGTACAAACCATACTTTCACGCCTTTTTTGTTACTCTTTGTCTGCCATTGTTTTACGCTGTTTACGTACACCAATCTTTCTTATCAACATTTTTCGTTCCATGATTGTTTCACTATTTTTTTTATTCATGCTCTCTTTAAATGTACTAAGCCTTCTCTCTAAATCTTCTCTCTTTTTATCGCTCCTTATGTCTCTATTTTGTTTACACTCTTTAGACAAACGCTTCTTCTCTCTATTGCGTCTCACCTCATTTCTCTTATTCATTATTACAGTGTTTAGATAAACCACTCCATCTCTCAATTCTTCTACCTCTTGTCTTTCTTTCTCTTTCTCTCTCTTAATAGTCTTTTCTTCGGTTTTGTGATCTCTCTCATTCAAGTTTAAACTCTTTACACAAACTACCGTTTCCCTACTTTCTTCCCTCATTTATTGACTCGCTTCCTCTTTCTCCCTCTTACTTTCCCTTTTCTCTGTTTTTATTTATTTTTTTTATCTCTCTTACTCTCTTTTACGCTTTTACACAAACCATTCTTGTTCTCTTATATTCTCAGGTTTCTTTTCTTTCTTTCGTTCCTTTTTACTTTTACGTTCTCTACAGATATAAGGATTATTTTCATTTCCGTTTTTCTCTGTTTCTTGACTCACTATCAGTCTGTCTGTATCTGTCTTCTCTCTTATTAATGTCCTTTACGTAGACTAGTCTTTCTTCATTCTTTTTTCCCTCTCTTTTTATTTCACCTCTTTTCCCTGTAGATTTCATTCGTCTCTCGCTCTGTTACGCCCGAAAAAAGATGAGGTATACTCGAACAGAAAATCATATGAATTTATGCACTTGATAACGAAACAAATAGCTAATTATTCTGAATTAGTTTACATATAAATTGGGTACACGTGCATTAAAAATAAAATCGATTTGCATCGAGATTTTTATTAATATTTCGTTCTAAAATTAAAGGAAAATACAAAAACATTCTAATGTGACTTTCACTTGCTAGCATGCACACACGTAATAATACGTTATCCCAAATATACCCATTAATAGTTTTGCGCACGCGCAGAGCTTTCTCATTCGGAATCTTTCCCATATTTGCTCATGCAGCCATATGCATCCATCTCAATGCACAGCAGCCATTCTTTAAATTGTAAAGCAAGCATTTTGATCTAAAAATACGCAAGAAAGTTTACGACAGACTTAATTAGAGGAATATTTCTCTGGCCTTAAACCAATAATGGAACTGAAGTGCTTGGCAGTTCTTTAAATTGTCTCTTTTTAATAATGTTTTTGAGCACTTAGTTATATGTGCATTTTAAAAAGGATTAACGAATATGTTTTTTGACTGTTGGTTTAATAGATTTTTAGTCCATTTATTTTTCGATTTTTTTTCTATCGACATATAGCTTAGTAGTTCGAATCGAGGTTTGAAGATCAAGAGGACAGTATAACAATTATTTTAAAGTTGCATGCGGCATAATGGCGGAATCATGTTACATAGTAAACTTTAAATGTTGACGTATTTAGCCCGTGAGCGTATATTGAGCAGTCAAAGTGCATACTTCACATGGAACTACGCTGATTTTCCAGCTTTTCGGTTCGTCTCTATTATTTATGTTGGATGAGGCCACAGAGGTCACATTAGTGCAAGTATTCGCTGCGATTTAAAATAAAGAAACGCTGTATCTTGTACGGAGCTGACGATTCAAAATGAGGAAGCATTGTTTCTTGGGCGTCCCATAAGATTTAAAATAAGGAAGCTCTCCTTTGTTCGTCACAGACAATTTGAAACGTGGAGACCATGCCAATTATTCAACTGAAATGATTTGAAGTTAAGTGATTTTTTTCGATTTCATTCTAAACGATTTGAAATGAAGAAACCTTGAATCTTGGTCATCTGTGCCTATTTAAAAGAAAGAACCATTAATTTCCCCGACCCAGACATTTTGAAATGAGGAAACCGTGTCCATTGTTTCAAACAAATATTTTGAAATGAAGAGTTGTTGTTTCGATTTAATATCAAATACTTGAAATAAAGAAATATTGGTCATTTTTCGATACATTTTCCACTTTCATTTTTACCCCAAACAATTTAAAATAAAGAAACATTTTTCTTTTTTCGGTCCAGAAGATTTGAAATTAGAGAATCTTTTCCTTGATTTGTCTTCTATTTTTCTGCCTCTAAGAAAGTCTCTCGTGGGACAATACTGAAATTGATGTTGATATTGTATCCTCTGCTGCTGCTGTTGCTGCTGCTGCTGCACCCTTGATGACAATCTTGACTCCGTCCACTGTCGCCTCTATTTCTCCTGCTGCAACCTTGATGACAAGCATGACTACCCCCGCTGCCGACTCTATTGCTATTGCTGAAACGTTGATAATAAGCTTGACTCCCTCTGTAGCCGCCTTTATTTATGCTACTGCAAGCTTGATGAAAATCATGACTCTCTCCATCGCCGCCGCCATCGTCACCTCTATTTCTCCTGCTGAAGCCTCCCTGCCAAATTTGGCCCTTTTCACATATGACCTTTACTGAGAGTTAACCGAATCACCTGAAGAAAACCACAGTGCCCAAGAGTCGAAACACTGTAATAACAAGATCAACAAAGATGGGAATATTGGCTCGACTGCAAGTAATCTAGATAATGATTGCTTCTCATCCGATAAAATCCAAAAAGTTTCGTTTTTATTTACACAATGAAAAATTTTAAGATGATTATTTGATGTCTATTCTTTCGTAAAACGCTTACTTTTAAATAAAAAAAATCGATTTCGTTTACATTAGGTTTATATGGAGTATGACATATTTTTTTACTTACCAAATATATGTTAGATTTCTTTGAATTAAAATATTTACGGATGTGTATTGGGTTTATTGACAGGATGTTGAATCCTGATCTCGATGTGCATGCGCATTCCCTTCTCTCATATGTCACATCCGCTGTTTGCGAATGTGGTAAATTTGGGTTGCTTTCTCATGAGCTCTGTGTTGAACTTGTGATTTAAAGTTTTGAATTTTGCGCGCGTTCTCGTCTCAGAGACGAGAAAATTAACTTGAAACTAACATCTATATAAATAAATGCGAATGTCAGTGTGTCAAACTTTTTCAACTTTACTTCTAGAGACCATAGCCAAACATATACCATTTTGGAATCAGGCAGACTCTGTGAGCAAATTAAAAACATTTTTCTGATTGGATCCGGAAGCACAATCTTGAAATTTTGGATTTCCAAATTTTCATTATTGCGATTATTTTCGTCGATTTTTTACGTTTTATTTACGACGAATTTTTTTGTACATAACAATTTTTATAACTTGGAAATAAATTTGGGAATAATCGAAATTAATTGAGAAATCAAGCAAACGTCACCCATGAAATAAAAATAACTGTTTGTACGGAAAGTAAGGACCTACTTAAATTGTCTTTAAATTAAGCGGGCGCAGAAGAATTATCGTTGAACTTTTAAAAGGTAAGTCTAAATATTAATGCAATACTTAAATGCAGACATCAATTTTGAGTTATGTAGTTTATTGTTGCCTATCGCATACGGTGGCAGTATATCTTGCTAAAAGAAATCTCCACCAACAGAGGATCAGATAAGAATCAAAAGATCCAACGCTGAGGCGAGGGAAATAAAGTCCCGTGAAAATGAAAGCCCAGATCAAACGAAAGACGGGAAAGCTTCCATTGCTGTTAATATGCAGAGACTTAGGAACTCTCAAACTCCGACCAAGCCGAGGGCCTAATCAATAGCCCTCCGCGGGAGCTTGCTTAAATGCCACCCAATGCAATAATTAGAGCACCTCGTACCAGAGAAGAATTACTTGCACACTCTTTTCGAATTAGGCATTAAACAAGCAATATGTTTTAAGGAAAATAGGAACGAAAAGAACATTTGTGCATAGCATCAGAAAGTGACCGTTGAAATATCTAGGACATATAATGAGGAAAGAAAGTGTGACAAATTTGACACTCACAGGATATACTGAATGCAAAATCGAAACAGCAAGTGATATCTCTAACGAGCTTGTGTAAATGGATGGCAGAATTTGAACTGGCAATGATTGTAAAGTGACAAATATTGCTTAGAGATACTAATGATAGGAAGTTGTAGAAAGCCATTATTGCCTACGTCCTGAATAGACATAGCACATCAATGAAGAGGAAGAATATTATCAATAGGCTTGACGGTAGTTAAATGGCGGAGGTTACTTTGTCTCAGGAGACAAAAGCTGAATCTTCCTTTTCATTAAGTTGGATTTTGTTTTTAGATTTCACCAACAGACAATTAATCCATAATCTTCTGGTGACAGTTTAAACCGAATCTTCTTTTTTTTTTTCATATATTATGATCAGTTTGCTTAATGCTCGTATTTTCTTCTTGATTTCAGATCAAACGTGGAAATTTTACAAAATATATCAGAGAAAATATCACTTTTATAATTCATGGTTTATCATTTTAGTTTTATCTAAAAAGGAAAGAGAAGGCGTCAGTTGAAAGTGACGTCAGGTTTATTACAACTGAACACAGAATGTCGAAGCATTTAATTTCTAACTTTTCCTCTTTGCATTCTTACAAACATGAAATGAAAAAGACGTTTATGGTGACGTTAGAAATAAAAAATAAAACAAAAAAATATATGTAAGTTAAAACAATATTGCCTTTGAATAAAGTCAAAAGGAAAGCTTATTCTTTCCCACGTATAGCTTAGACTCTTTGTTCATATTGTCCTTTTTAATGTAGATATATTGTAGTGATATCTGAAATATTTGACACAATAGTGTTTATGTATATTTACCAACTTCGTTCAGACAGCTGTAAGAGAATTTTCTCGTGTATATTTTTGCGGTTGTTTCGAAAGGAACGTGCAAGTCGAGGTTAATGTTTAGAATGTTTTTATCTGTCAGTCCTTAAATCAAAATTACACAAGTGATTTCAGGATCTTTTTAGTTGCTAGAGTTTAAAAATTAAAGAATTATGATGCTTGAGAATTCACGAAATCGGTGGTATCACATTATAATCTGGACAATTATATTCCTAAGTAAGAATAATGTTCTCTCTCCCCGCCTTGATATGGGTAAATTGCAGGACAGACCCGGTTCTCTAGTCTTGGATGACAACTGGTCTACGGCAGAAAGAAACAGCAACCTACTGCGGAAAAAAAAATCTGCCTCGCCAGTCACGTATCGAAAGATACATGATCGCCTAAGCGTGAACCACGCATGTCACATAACTGACTGTTTCAGACCAGGGGAAAAAAAAAGAAGTTTACTATTTATTTCAGCTGGTATATTGGCACTAAAAGGTTTGTTAACAGTGTAGAAATAAGGGTTCAGTCTGGGATTCTTTCTTAGAGACACTGCTAGTGCAAATTTTACGACCCGGAAAGTAAATTAGGCGTGCCAAATTCAATCTCCGCTCGAATCTGTTTCGTTCACTTTAAACAAACACCTTTGGAACCGATTTAAATCCGTCTTGCTCCAGCGATGGGATAAATAGCTGAGCAAACTGTATTTTCTTGTATTGAAGTTTCAACCAGGCTAGCTGAATACTTGATCGTTCGATTTTCTTTCCGGCTTATCAAATTTTAGTGAGTTGAATGCCGACACATATTTTAGATTGCAGGATTTTTACGAGTGGATATTGCATTAAGATTTATTCGAGAATAACAATTATTTTTATTGATGTAAATCCTACTCTTTAACCCATAGGTGGGGGGAAGGTTGATTCATTTCTTTCCCAAGGCTAGTTGTGCGTAGGTGAATATAACGAACTGACTGGAACCCAGTTCACCGATTTCTCATTCGGAGAACAGTCTAGGGGAAGTAAACGAATAATAAAAAAAAAACATCTTGAGGAAGTATGGGCACTGATAGACTATCCTGCACAAGAGACATCTCTGCTGCTATGCCTGATGTGTATGTCGTCCCCTCACGAGCCTAATCAGGTTAGGGCACTCGTGACGGGAAACGATTCATTCATAAAGAACATTTTCGTATTAAAGGCTTATTCTACACTACGAATAAAGACATGGCTATTTAGCAATCTCTCAAACAAACTAAGATAAGTTCATTTTAAAAGGTTAACATTAAGCTATGAAACATCTTCAGCAGATTCTATTACATTTCCTGAAACATTACAAACAGCTAACACTCAATTCTGGGAGTGTGCCTGCATGTCTATCTGAAAGACTGTGCGTGTTTTCATGTGTGTGTGTTATTGTATGTGTCTGCATGTTTGTGTATGTATGTCTACAAATGACTGTGTCTGCATGTGTGCGTGTCTGCATGTGTGTGTGTCAGCATGTGTCATATGTGTGTCAGTATTTATCTCTGCATGTGTGCATGTCTCTGCGTGTCTGCATGTGTGTGTGTATGCATGTGTATGTCTGCATGTTTGTGTATGTGTGTGTCTGCATATGTGTGTATCTGCGTGTGTGGGTCAGTATGTGTGCATGGATGCATATATGTGCCTGCATCTATGTCTGCATGTGTGCATGTCTGCATATGTGTGTCTCTCTATGTGTGTCTGCATGTGTGCATGTTTGCATGTGTGCATGTTTGCATGCTTGCATGTTCACATGCCTGCATGTATGTGTGTTTGCATGTGTGTGGGGGGGTGCTTCCTTTACCAGTCTTAAAACCATTCCATCTTTTGATCATCCATCCATCTCCTACTTTTATGTCTATTCAGGATGTTGGCGACCATGACCTTCCATAAATTCCCATACTTTGTAGTTCGAAGTAATATTTAGTCACATTACTATTATTCCCACTCCCTGTTCTACCATGCAATAGCTAGGTTACTCGCTGTTAGCCTTCACCCACTTTTGCGTTTAGTATATCTTTGTCAAATTCTCCTAGTCCACATTCCTCATTATGTATTCCATAAAAAAGTGTCCTTTTGTTCCCATTCACTATAAAACCTCTTCGTTGCTCATGTTTCCTCAGCATCCTTCTCTAGTACACCATATCTATCGCTTCAATTCTCCTCTTCATCTATATTGAAATTGTCCAGTATTTACTACCATATAGGAGAATTGATATTACAGTCCAGTTTGTTTCTCATGAAATTTTCCGGTTTCTTAAACTTTACTTATATTTTCAGATTTCTGTGTTAGATGTTCCATCGTCTTCTCAGATATGAAAAAATGCTATACTACGCGGCCTTGTGGATGATGAATTATTTTCCACTCTACACCTTCTCCCCAGACGAAACATTGCAGGCCACTATTTCTATATAAATTGTTCAGGCAAACTACATTCTTTAGCTTCACCAGATGGAGCATTCACAGCTAAAACACGCCATTCTACAGACATTGTAGCGAATCCCACTGATTCCCTTCATATTCCATTGTGAACCACCATAATCAGACAGAGTTCATACGTGAAATGTAAGTTCGATCCCAGCAAGGTTTTCTCACGGACTTCTAATTTATGGAACTGAATCCCATGAGGAAACTTCCCTGACAACTACACTCTTACTTCTAAGATCAACCGTTATCTTCACTACACATATTCATAAGATGTGCCTC